AACGAAACTGACGTGGTAAAGCGACGCTTCCCGCACGCTAGATCTGTAATTAGTGTGTGTGTTTGTGTGTGTGTGTGTGTGTGTGTGTGTGTGTGTGTGTGTGTGTGTGTTTGTGTGTGTGTGTGTTTGTGTGTGTGTTTGTGTGTGTGTGTGTGTGTGTGTGTGTGTGTGTGTGTTTGTGTGTGTGTGTGTTTGTGTGTGTGTGTGTGTGTTTGTGTGCGTGTGTGTGTGCGTGTGTGCGTGTGCGTGTGTGTGTGTGTGTGTGTGTGTGTGTGTGTGTGTGCGCGTGTGCTTGTGCGTGTGTGTGTGTGTGTGTGTGTGTGTGTGTGTGTGTGTGTGTGTTAACTAGTATGTAATTAGGTATTTTACAGACCGGAGTAGAAAAAATATTTTACCACTTAAATCTGTCAATAGTTTATGAACTTAGTTAGTCGCTAAAAATTTATTAGTGACCGAGTTAGTCATTAAAACAAATATTTAATGAAAGATAAGTGGCAATATTTCTTTGAAAATGGCTAAGCATAACAATCTAAAGATAAATAATCCCTTTTTTTTTTCATTTTAAATATCATTTTGTATCGTAAATATTCGGGGCAATTAGGAAACCCATAAAGTAGAAAATTTTCCCTAAATTCAACTTTGTTTTTGAGCGTTAAGTCTTTCTTTTTTTTCTTTTTTTAGGTTTTGATAAGATACTCAGATGCGGTTTTCACTAGGTTGTTAGACTATCTAATGGCGTAAAAATAATCGCATTTTTGGTTTTACCGAAAAATTATATTTTTTTACTATTATTTCAGAAAACGTCAGAAAAAGTTACCTTAAACAAACACGTAATTCCCCAGATAAAAAGTACAAATTTTGTCCTGACTCATTTTTGAAAATGATTAATAAAAGGAATATTAGGGAAACTTGAAGCGATAAGCATAAGAAAACCTTAACAAAAGTTAGATTGTACTCAACACTGATTAAACAAAATTTCAAAATAGTAATAAATAAGGCAGATATATTATTTTGCAACATTTTTGGTCAGCCCTGTATATTGAAAATTACAAATTGCTGGAAATATTCAACTTAATCTATGTTTTATTAATTTTAATTTATTAATTTTCTTATATTATTATTAACATATTCGACAATTCGACGATTAATAAAAAAAAATATTATTATACAGCACGTTCGCGCCCAGTTTCTAAAATACAGGGCGTTGAACTTTATTTTAAAAAAATATATTATTTATAAATCTGGCAGTTTTTCACATATTTTCTTGAAACTTGGGATGTATAATTGTCTATACTAGTAGAAAAGTAGAAAGTATGTTAGTAGAAATATTTCTGTACCCATTCGCCATAAATTTTTTCGAGGTACGCCTGTGATGCTAAGACTTATTTCGTTTAATGAATGTCTTATACTTTATATAATTGCATCCTTTTAATAAGTGAAAAATTATTTTCAACCTTCCTCTGATCTACAACTTCGTTTAGTTTTGGTTAGTTTGGTTTTGGTTTCTTAAAGCATCGGGATCTCAGCTCCAACCCTAAATGATCCAGCCTCTGACCTGTATAGTCGATTTGCTACTGGACTACCGGCTCCCCTTTTACCTTCTCTAAGTTCATACCTACAAGTGCTGTTATGTAGCTGAAAAGTCAAAAAAGTTTAACTGTTTTGTAAAGCAAGTATTATTTATTAAAGATCCCAGCTCTGAAAATTACGCGTCCGATCATTGCCAAGTAGGTCGTGATATTATAAAGAGAAAACAACAATATATTATAATGTCTGTGCTGAGACCAGAAATTCACCACGTAAGGTAAAACATTCGTCGAAAGCGCTATATGCTTATAGCTTACGTATAAGCGGGCGCTATAACTTCTTCGTGCCTGCATGCATATACATTTTCGCCAAACTCCTTGTAAAAGCCACGAAAAGTTTTCTTTGGCAAATTTATTTGTCGAAACTTCGTTTGGTGATACTTTCTTCTCGTGCAGTTTAGAGTGAATCGTTATAAAATTTCGAGTACGTACGACCGGAACATGTCTGCGGCGAACTTTAGGCTTTCATTAAACTTTTTAATAGTTAAACTTCCGCAGATGTTGGCAGCACGGTTTCTAAAAATTCTAGAATTTAGTTCGATTACTTTATAACAAATTCAGTTTCCGAAGTTGCCACGTGTATCTGCGAACACACGTTGAATACATGCACATATTATGAGGCACTTTCGTCGCAGAAATTGAAATAAATTCCATTCGAACCGTAGTTATTCGATTTCCAAACTTCGACCATATTCGACGTCACGCGCGGGCTTTGGAAATCTTCAAACTTACATGTTATGCGCTAAAAGGGTAAATTGTTTTTTCCTTGGATCCATTCTTTTGTCAATTGCTGCCATTTCCACCAACGTGGCACTAAACATTTTGACGCCACTACGTCGGCTGCGGACTTAACCTAAACTGAACAGACAAAAATCGTGGATAACATGTTTTTACTTTTTTGGGTATGTTGGCACACCGCATGATAGTTAGCAAATCAACTTATTCAATAATAATTTCTTGTGAATGTTTGTAATGCACCAGAATGTTTGCTGATTTTTTAAACAAATTCCTAAGTGAAATACGCTTGCGATGGAAATTTTACTGATAAACATGGTCAATTATGTTTTCATTTCTTTAATTTTTTTTTTGCAAAAATACGTATTTTAACTAAAGTTTCCATTTATAACAATTTTAATTAAAGTGGGAACTATAAAATCTTAACAAAGATGATGTTGTCACTAAATGTAAATTGCAACCTGCAATCATTGCGTCTGAAGGGTGGCCGACATATTTTACCTTAATTTTACCTCACTAGTCTTAGTTTCCAGGCTTTTTTTGTCTAGCTTTTCCTGTAGACTCAAAACCTGAATAACAATGATTTTGCTTGGAAAAGCCTGAAAATCTTCTGTTATCAAACTTATATATATAAACACACCCATTCGAAAGTCTGTAGCGGGGATAATATGCAACTCTGTCTCACTCATGTTTAATAGCTATGGATTGCGATGTTCTCATTTCAATTTTGACTTCTACCAATTAGTTCCAGTACAGTTCAGAGACGATTCTAATATCTCCTTCGTCGAACCCGGTGGGTTACAAGGAACCATTTTTTTCTGCTAGTTTGCTTTTTTTATTTACAAAATTTACATGAAAAGTTTAACCTAACAGAAAAATTATAAAATATTTAAATAATAAAATAAGATTTATAAATGTCCCAACACTTTCCCAAAAAGATCTACCATTAACGGGTCGATTCATCTTTTCGATCCACCCCGTATAAAAAGTAATATACAAAATTTTTGCAAACAGTGCACTTGGTACGGGTAAATAAAAGTGTTGGCGATTGGTTCGTCACATTTTGGTGGATACCCGGCACTCTCTAACTATCGGAATATTTTTGAATTTTTTGCTTCGAAGATATGATTAATACTAATTCCCTACAGCGTATACAACAAATATTGTTCACCCTCTGAAAACCGATCCACCTGGCATCTACGTTGTTAACGTGGAGCCATCCCTTGTGTGTCAGATCGAAAGTTTGAGCTAATGGAATTAAAATTTGCACCACAAATTTTAAACTGTTTCCGTGTATATGAATTTTACTAACTAGATAATTTGTTTTTCAATTTCTTCCCCCCAAATTAAGTACTTCGAACATCTGTTTATTCACACAAGGTGTCACAGTTTACATCCACATTAAAATGAACAAACCTGCAATAGCAATAGCAATAATAAGATTTTAAGCGTGGACCCGACTTGAAATAATATTTGAAGAACTTACTTTTTTCTCATGTCCTGTTAAAGATTAATCATTAAATTTGACAGTTTATGGGTCATTTTTTATTATAATTTTATCAGTACAGAATTAGAAAAACAATATAGAAAATATGATGTAAATATAAAATAAAAATTCTTATATATTATAATTATAATTTGTGTAGTAATCAAAATAAACAATAACAATTAAACTGAGAATTATGCGCGCGCGCGCGCACCCACACACACACACACACACACGCCCGCGCGCGCACGCACACACACACGCCCGCGCGCGCACGCACACACACACGCCCGCGCACACACACACACACACACACACACACACACACACACACACACACACACACACACACACACACACACACACACACACACACACACACACACACACACACACACACACACACACACACACACACACACAATTAACTCAGGTTTATTTGGTTAGTATATTTATTAAAAATTACATTTTCAGAACCCATTTCCGGTGAAGTGTATTCTTAACTTATTCCGCTACTAAAACATGTCAGAGAATCATGTTAAGAAGAATTTTTTTCATCTTTTAATTTGTAAGTGTTCTCTTGAACATGGTTTATGGTTTTTGTAATTTGTTTAGAAACTTTTCGCAGTCACTTTCGGTTATTTAAGTGTTACAAAAAAAGTTTTTTATTTTAGTTCTAAACGATCACGATCATTGAAAAATATTGAACTGTAGAATTTCACAACTATCCGGCACGCCCAATGATGTAAGCGCAATATGAAACTTAGGGTGATTTTATAAGATTACTAGCAACATAATAAGTAAACAAATAATTGCAGAAGCAGACAATAGTCTGTGCGCGATGTAGCTACCTATTTAGAAACTATTATAATTTGTAATTTGCAGACATAAAAGTTTACTCAAATCCTATCCGTCAACATTATGGTCGCTAGTTGAGTTATTCTATCTAAATTTATCAATTTTATCTATAGTAACGATTTTTTGTTATAAATTAAAACATACATTTCTTTTTCAAATAAAATTTTGTTGAAATTAAATATCAACAGAAAAAAAATGGATGTTTAATTAGTTTTAAATAGGCTATATATGTAAGATATCAATTTTTTTTCGGAATCCATCTTTTTACTTTTGATTTACAAATTAAAAAATGTAGTTTACAATGAAATAAAATTTACTTGAATTTTTAATTCCAGCTAGATGCAGAACCACCAGCGACCCAATTTCGTTGGAGCTTCAATAGCACTCCTGGTATTTCTAGAGAAATGACTGAGCATATCGTCGAGGAAGAGGATATTAGTGTGTTAACTTACATACCACACTCCGCTTCGGATTATGGGACATTGCAATGCTGGGGTACCAACGAAATTGGCGTGCAAAGGGTCGCTTGCACGTACCACGTAGTACCGGCTGGAAGGCCGGACCCACCGCAGGGTTGTTCGATGATTAACATAACCCATCATTCTGTTACGGTGACGTGCAAGAAAGGATTCGATGGGGGTAAGCAAACGTCCATTTTTCTATAATATGGTGATTGTATTATAGTACCCGCTACTATCGCCATCAACTCCATGCAGATACTTTCATAAGTAGTGCCCTGTCAGCATTCCTTGCAGATCTCATACGACTTTATTTACTTCTGCCATTATGCATCCAAAAGTCTAGCTTAAAGCCTGTTAGTCAGTTGATTTGATTACCGTACCTAAAACTAACCTAAATCAGCCAAACCCAAAACACAGGTGGGTGGACTGTCTTCTATGGAAGATGTAGCATTCAAATTTCCATCCAAATCGAAATTTTTAAATATACTCGTAAAAATATTTGGCTAATTCACCAAAACTTTTGATAGGTAGATATTTGCACAGCTGTAATAATAATAATTAATTAAATTAATAATCAAAAATTCACAACAGGACGCCAATTGATCTGACCTAGTAATTGCTCATTTGGTTGGATTTTTCTTTGAATGCATAGTTGCTTTGGCAATATTTTCCTAAAAAAATATTGTTTGATTGACTGAATAAGTTTATCAACATATTGCATACTATGTTTTGTCTACGACTATTAGTTTTGGGTACATTTTTTCAAACAGCACGAAAACATTCACATTAAAATACAATCCGTTGCTGAAATCTTGTTTGATAATTATGTATATATACCTGTACTAACATTATTATAAAGTAACACACTAGAGCAAAATTTCTCTTCTAAAAGTTATTTTAACTATAGAATTATGTATTACTCTTAACTGCTAAAGAAGAAAACTATACATCCTCCCATAGCACAGAAGCTATGCAACTAAGGCTCTATAATAATAAAATTCTCGTAACTTCTACAATTACATTAGAATTACTCCCAAGTATTTTATAGCATTAGTTTCCTTAATTATATAAAAAGGTATATTTAGTCTTACTTACGTTAAGGGATAATTTAAGTGTTCAAAAACAACTTTAATATTTTTAAAACATTTTCAATTTTTATCTGCACGTCTTTAAAAGAATAACCATCCAAAATACTACCATCTTGTCCGCATAGGAAAGGACCATGTATTCCATGTCTAAATTTACGAATCTAATAATACAAAAATTAAATAATAGAGGCTCTAGAATAGTTCCCCGTATTATACCGATCTTGAACACTAGAAAAGCTTTCTATAACTAACAGCAAATCTGTTATATATAACGATGCTAGGAAATGATACAGAAGAATCCATGAGACCATCAGATCGTAGGATCTTATATAATAATGAAGACACTTCCCAAATATTTTGCTTAAATACTAATCGGTGTGTATTTACACGCATCCGACCTACATCCTGAATTATTTATAGACTATAGCCATTTTAACCTAATAGGGAATATTATTTAATTAATTAAAACTGTCCAGACTATTCTTTATTTTCAAAAATTGTTGCATATATTGTATAAATGTATAAATCCTCCATATTCTTTAGAACCTCGTTACCTTTGTTTTTTTGTACAGTAAATCCATTTATACATAACAAGTAAATACTATATAAATATAAATTCATTTTGTAGCTGTTATCATTTCTCAAATGGGTGAAGCATCTCGTGTGGACCCCCCTGTATATGTTAGGATGGTAACCGCCATTATCGAATCGCTTTAAAATGAAAATTGAATACAAATTTCGGAATTATCGCCGCGTGCATGACTAAACCAAAACTAAATATATTTACGGCTAACTTTAAACATTTAACCCGCAATAACCACAGGCATACGCATTTCGCCATTGGAACACCCGCAGGATCTACGTTTTGCTAGCATCACTGTTTTATGACTTTTACAAATGAATTTTATTAGGCAAAGTTTCAGGAAAATGACTTTTTATAATATAAGATTTCAAATACTTACTAAAACAATCACACTTCGCATCAAAATTAGCGCATTGCTAAAATTTGGGTCAATATCAATTTTCTAGCAAATTGCAAATGAAATACGGAATTTAATATATAATGTAAATATTAAAGTTTATTAAAAAAAAATGAAACGAACTTATAACGACTAAACCAATAAAAAGTCATATCGGGTGCTTTCTGCCCTACACATACTTTGAGCCATCCAAGGATTCATGTGGGAATGATGTTCTCTAAGATATTTACCCATTTGATCCCATAAATGTTCAATTGGGTTAAGGTCTGGATTGCGTGGAGATCAGTCCAAGGTGTCAATATTCACCTCATACTAGTTTTATAATATTCTTGCAGTATGTGCTCTGGTATTATGAAAATCTACAACTACTGGCGACTAACGTTTTTGTGGGGAAGTTTGAAATTTTGAGGTTAGGATTACTCAGTTATTTTTTGGCGAAAGAATGTTGTTTGTGTATTTTGTGATAAATTAAAAAAATGGTGACGGTTAAAAATGGTACTTAATCGGGACCATTTTCGTGCAATAATGTTTTATAACTTTAGACGTGGACTAACTCAACAACAATCCATCGATGAACTTAATTCGACTTTTGGAGTTAAAGTACCACCTAGGACTACTTTTTGTCGCAGGTTTTCGGACTTCAATCGTGGTCTTAGTTTTCTTAAGGATAAATTTCGTGAAGGTCGTCCAAAATCGATGAGGGAAAAGTGCTTTGATGATTGGTTTTATCGAATGCAAAATTGTATTGGTCATCAGGGTGAATATTTTGAGAAACAATAAAGATATGTTTGTTGGTAGCTTATAGTTTTTTATTACAAATCCCGAAATATAAAATGTGAAAATAACAAGTTTTTGAAAATGGCAAACCAAATATCAGTTCCATCTACATCTTCAAACGAGAAATTACAAAATATCAAGCTGTAGCAAAAAATCAATTTTTTGGCGTCAGCGATTTGCAACATGCTTAGAGTTGACTAAGAGTAAGAAAATGGTTGTCTTCTTTCTTCTTTATCATTTTTTCTTCTTTTTTTGTGTTGTATGTGACTTTTTCGCACCATATTAGGTCCGTTGGTTCTGATGAAGTGGTGGAATTCGGAACGCATCTATAATTAATCTTTGTTTCATCGAAGTCATTCCCGATTTCTCGGCGCTCAATTAGTCCCCCGAGCCCCTTATTAATTATCACCACTCCGATTTCCCAGTCGAATTTCCAAACAGGTTTCCAATGAGACCATCCCAATTGACAAGTGCAATCCGTCGCATAAAATTCTAATTACTCTCCATTACGTAACTCAATTTAGCAGGAAATCGAATTTAAAGTTACTGATAGAGCGACGTAATACAATTTTCGGTTGGAATAGCATTGGGTATATTTTGTATTTGCAAATTCTACAGTCATTATTCAAATATACGAATTCGGTTTTTGTTGTATTGGGTCGGTGTTTCAATAAACGTCGGAAGAATATTTCGTTACATTTATTACTAAAACAATTAATTATTAAAAAAAAAATAGCATTTCAATAATAGACGTTATCAGTTATATATAAATAAAAACGCTACCAACCCACAAACAAGTCATCAAACAAAGTTCGTAGATTCACAGTTTCAATTTTCATCTCTATTAATAGTTAATTTTTCAAAAAGTCCACCATTATTTACACAGTTGCCAAATTTTTATGTACAAAAACGACATCGTTATATATAACAGATGTGCTGAATAAATTGAACTTCAATAAATTATTTCTGATTGTCATATCGCCACGATTTCTCAAAGTATTAAAATTATATAAAAGAGCGTCAGGTGGAATGCGCGAAAAATAAATATAGCAATACATTTAAAAAAAACAGCAGAGGGTTCGAATGAAAAAATAGGTTAAATGTTCAAATGCATCGTAATTTTTTCCATACTTTAAAACTGTTCCGACACACACCGCCAACTTGTTAAAAAATAAATATGTTAATAATTCGGTAGTTTTTAATTTTAGGCCAGTATCATATAGGAACTTTATAGAAGATTTGTAAGGATTAATTTGTTTACGTACATTAACAAATATTTTGTATACGTACTGAAATATTGGCAATATAAGGGAAGGTGCAAATGCGAACGAAAATTTCCATAGATGATTATTAAACAACTATGGAAGTTACTTCTTTTAAATTGATAGGTTTTCGTGTATTTGTCATATTAATGCAATCACTCACTTAGATATTATTAATATTTATTTATTCAAAATATAGTATTTGCCAATTTTGAGTACATATATTTTTTTGAAAGCTCATTTGCCCCGCTGGTCCGGGGCTATGTCATTTCTATTTTCTATTTTTTATTTTCTACTTTAACTAATTATCAAAAAAATATAACTAGAAAATATATTTTAGGGATAAGTCGTATTACAAAGTAAGTAGTAGTACGAAATTATAAATTTAGGATTCAAACAAAGTCCTTTCAAACTAAAATTAAAAACATTAATTCATCCTGATCGAAATAAAGAACAATTATTAAAAAAATATGTTTGAAACATTTTAGGAGCTGTGTCAAAAATATACTCTTCGTAATCAGTCGTCTCTGATATTTTTGGGACAGACATTTTACTCTTTATGTCCTCATTGTACGGTGCAGTAGTACGGTGCCGACATCGTTGTGCTTTAAAATAAAATGGCACTCATTTGTGAGCCCTTTTAAGTCTATTACTTCTGCTTCATCATCATTAAGGAGTTTTTTTACCAAACAAACATATTTGTATTTCCAGGAAAATTTACCAACTCAAAATCGCGAATTTATATTTTGATAAACGTAGGTTCGTCACCAATTCCATGTTTATCCAACTCGTCCAAATCACTTGTACTTAGATCGTCAAATTCAACAATTCTTTCTTCACTTAAATCACTGTACTACCATCGTTAGAACTACTTTCAGATATCTTTCGCCTACAAACTTTTTTATTTTATTTTTTTAGTTTTATTTTTTGGTTTACTTTTTTTTGTTGTATTAAAATTTTGTCGCCCCTAGTTATTTACTTTGCTCCTAAGGACACGCGTTTTCTTTTCTTCGAAAAGGGGTTGTTTTCACGTTTGGTTGACTTCAACAAAACCCCATCAAATGATACAAT